CCACCCCCTACACCCACTGGATCACAGAGCCCTGTGGATCTCCTACCACCTCTCGTGTCCTCTCCTCCACTCCCATCCAAGTCACCATGAATCTCTGGGCTAAAGCAATAATGTCTAGAGTCACCATCTACATGCTTCCATTTTTGTTCACCTCTGTCTGTTCTCTACATAGAAACCAAAGTGATTTTTTAAAAAATTCCATCTGATGAAGTTAGTCCTCTACTGAAAATTCATCAAAGTCCCATTAATTAAAATCCAGGTGCTACATGACCTGGTCCTTGCCTGCCTCTCCAGCTTGATCAGTGTCCGCACCAATCCTCACGCTCTGAGCTCCTCGAATTCTCCAGGCTTCTTCCTGCCACAGGCTTTCCACACGCTGTCCCTTCCTCCAAGGAAGCTCTTTCCTTATACTCTGCCTCTCCCCACCTGCCCTTGCCCACCTGCAGGGTCCAACTTTAGTACCACTTCCATAGCCAGGTCTTCCCTGGCCCTTGAACATTAGATTCTATCATAGCACCATGTAAATTCTCTTTGTTGCAGGTATCTGAGTTTTAATTTTGTACTTACTCAGCACCTTCCCTCTTAATGAAGGCAGGAACCTTGTTATAGCCACAGAGCTCCTGATAAGCACCCAGCAGTCAGTCAAAAATATTGAATGAATGTGATTTATTCTTCCTCATCATAGACCCGTGCAATTGTGTTATCCAGAAGATTAAATAAACGGCAAGATTCATCACGGAGTTGGAATTTGTTGGTGGTCTTGCTTGGCCAAAAGCTCCCTGATTCATGGCATTAAGTCAAGCACAGGAGAGAATAAAATTCTTTTGAGGACCTATAACGTTAAACATATATGTGTTGTTTCACTTTAATTCTTACAACTCACTTGAGTTGTCAAGAATGACAACCCTTGTGAGTTCAGTGTATTACCTCTATTTTGTAGATGAGGAAACTGATGTCCAGAGCTAAAGAGACTCCCTCAAACTCAAGTGGTTCCAAAATAGTAGAGTTAGGATACTGGAGAAGTCACTTTGATGCCAAACTCCCAGGTCTGATTGGAATTATGGGAAAGACAAGTGGCATGCTCATTTTCCTAACTATGGAATTTTGAGTAGGTTAAAGTCAGAAATCCAAAAGAACATAAAAGTGAAGTCCTGTAGACTTTGTGCTGCTCGTTGGAGCAGAACAACAGGCAAGAAAGCACTGGAATGAGGGCAGTACAGAATTTTGGGGAGCTAAATCTTTTAATTATATATTTCAGGTTTTCCTAGCCATTCAAATAGAATTCAGTGCCCTGTGTCCTGCAGGGGTGTCAAGTGTCCTGCAGCATAAAAGAAATCAAGTCTACTAGTCTTTCTGTTACTCTTTTGATGGGATTTATGTGCATTGAGTAATTCAGGCATAAAATGAAGCAGGACAAACCATCCTATTTCCTCATCTCTCCAGTTGCAGTAATATGCAAACTAATCTATTTCCTTTTTTTGACTCTTACTTCAGAGACCTTGACTGAATACGTCTTTGGCACCAGAAGGCTCTTAAAGGGGTAGGAGTGCTTACTTGAGGGGGCCGTGAAGGGGCTGTGGCGGAAGGTGAGCGTAGTGACTGGTTTCTTGGTCCTTTCAGAGTATTTGTGAGGCCGAGGCTGGAGTGGTGGAGTGATTCCTGCCAATGCTATAGTTTGAAATTTGTTTTTGTTTTTAAAAACTTGTTTTAATGTCTCTGTGAAGCAAATCCATGCCTCCCCACACACTCCACATACCTGTGTCCTTAATGTGTGAATAATGCAAAAGGGAACCTCGGAGGACAACGGCTCCCTATGAATTAATGAAGAAAAGGAGGGACCATGGCATTTCAGCATTTGGGACTGGTGGGGAGTCGTACATCTCAGGAGTCTGGGAGAAGGGGAGCATTTTACAGGCATTTTAAACGATGAGTTGCTCCCCTACTGCCGTAAGCATTAGACAGTGTGCCAGAGGACCAGTGCTTGGCAAGATGTGGTTAAATTTGCAAAAGATCCAGAGGGAACAAAGAAGAATCACCAAGCTGTTGAACAAGAGGGAAAATATGTATGGAAAAAAGAGAAACCCCAAGACAGAATACCCAAACTGTTTGGGATCATTTCATCTAGAGAACAAAAATGTTGTGACAGGGTAGAAAATGATTCTGAGGGTGGTGAGGTCACCTCATTTCCTATATATGTAGGATACTCTGATTCCAAACACCTGGAGGGAGACCAGGTGAATGATGTCAGCACTCACCCCTTCATCGAGGTGTCTATCAAACACCTGTCACCGGTTATTGTGGATGCTGAAGGGAACAGAAAGGCATGGCTAATGCCCTCCCTGAGCTTACAATCTAGGTTAAAAAAGCCCAACACAATGTGACAAGTGCAAAGTCAATGTGACAAAACAATGTGACAAGGGCAAAGATGGAAGCACAAGTCGCCCTGAAAAGCAAATAGCCAGGATTCAGGAGAGATTCCCAGACACCTGGGAATCTGAAGGATATTACCGGTGACGGTTGGTTTTATATGTCAGCTAGACTAGGCTGTCGTACCCAGTCATTTAATCAAATGCTTATCTAGGTGTTGCTGTAGAAGTATTTTTGTAGATGTGGCCAACATCTCCCATCAGCTGACTTTAAGGAAAGATTACCCTAGATGATGGAGGTAGGCTTCGTAGAATCAGCTGAAGGTCTGACGAGCAAAACCTGAGGTTTCCCAGGAAAGAAACTCAAGACAAGTATCAACTTGACTGCGTTTCCAGTCTGCCAGAACTGCCCTAGGGATTTCAGATGGACTGGCCAGGCCACACGATCCTATGACCCAATCCCTTAAAATAAATCTTTTACACGTACACACACTCTGCTGTTCTGTTTATATGGAGAGCTCTACTGATACAGTGTCTTAGTCGTTTAAGGTTGGGGAGAGGACAGGGGAAGGTGTGTCAGGGACTGACCGTACCCGGGGGAGTCTGGAATGAAAGAGAAGTGACCAGGAAGTACATTGTATGTGACCTAGAGAGTCTGCAAGGCTTTTAAGTCCGGGAACGAGAGGATCAGATTCACATTTTAAAAAGGACATCCGATTATGTTATTGCTGAGAACACAAGTAAGGAAAAACATATTTCCATTCTAGCAGGAAGGCATTCCTAACAAGGAAGACAATTTTAATAGGAGAAGGAGGTGCTGAATCTATCTCGGAATTTTAAAAAATAATTTGATATTTCAAATCATCAATGGTCACAGTCTTGCAAAAGGGTGACAACGTTCTTTTTACAATCAGGAGTCTTTCTGCTCTACCTTACCTCCTTGACGGCTTGTAGCCTTCACTACTAGTTTCTCAGGTCTACGGTCTATAGCCTTCATTAGAAAGCTCTCCTTGTAACTAGGGAGAGATTCCAACCCGGTCAAGCAGCCTTTCTGGAAGATAAACCGTCTCATACAGCGGCGGAGGTGGGAGGGTGGAGGTCAGCTGGGGATCCCCGCTGCCAAAGTGGAAAGGAAGAGCGGATTCACAGACAGAAGTTCCGCTGTCTCCCGAGTGTGGTGCGAGGACTCGCCTACTACAGCGGCAGCCTGTACTCCGCTTTCCGACCGCTCTAGGTTCGGTTCCCACACGCGTCCCGGCGAGTTCGGCGGCCCCCGCGCGGCAGTCCACGAGCCTGCGCGGGGGCCAGTACTTGTGAAGCTGGGATCCCTCCTGATGGGGAGGTGTGCGGGGAGCGCCGAGTCATACTCAAGCCCGACCCCAGTCCCCAGCAAAGGGGTCTTGCTCTGACACCCTGCCCGATTTTTCTTCCATTCCCTCTGCATCCCTCGATGCCTTCACCCTGGCTCCTGGTGCGTGCCCCATCCTTTTGGTCCGGAAGATTCTGTCCAGATCTCCTTGCCCGGGTCAAGCACCCTTGGGTGGGCGCTGCTGGTGACTTGATAACCGCTGCATAGACTAGAAGCCAGCACCCTCATTACCGTCCTCGCTGCAGACGTCTTAGGGCGCCAAAGGGGCTCCGCTCTGCACAGCCCTGGGGGGGCCAAAGGGAGGGGAGTTGGCTCACTTCCAAGGGACACTAGCCCCAGAGGTGGGTTCTACACCACGCACACCGACTGGGAAGGAGAGGGGTTGGAGCCCCGCGTGCCAGAGAGTGAAAGTGAGGATCTGGGGAGGGGGCAGGGTTAGTGAAGGGGCCGAGAGAAGAGGCAGCAGGTGAGTCCAAGGGCTGTGTCCCCGGGCGGGGAGGCGGGCCGACGGGGGACTGGGAAGGGAGCAGCGGGCAGGGGCGACGCAGACGAGGGCTGGGCTGGGAGGGGTGCGGAGAGGCGAGCCCGGGCGGTGAGAGAGGGAGTGGGGAAGCGGCGAAGGGGAGGGAGTTCCGAAAGGAGGGAAAGGAACCGGCGAGCGGCGAAGGGAGCGAGCCTGGAAGGGAGAGCCGCAGAGGGCGGCCGAGCCCGTGCCAGAGCTCGCGCGGGGCACGGAGGGCTTGGCCGGGGGAGACACACAAAGACATGCGAAGAGGGGCTGAGCGAGGCTCGCGCACAAAGACGCCGGGGTGCACGGCCGCTGGGGCTGCACCGACCGCCCCCGAGCCGCGCCGGGGCCGGGCCAGCGCCGAGCCCGGGGCGGAGCGCTCGGCGGCGGCGGCGGCGGCGGCGGCTGCAGGCAGGCGCGGGACCCGGGTCGCCCGCGCTCTCCGGGTGACCCGGGCCCGGCCGCAGGCGCGCGCGGGGGCGGCGGCGCCGGAGCCCAACTTGGCCTCGGCCTCGCCCTCTGCCCAGCCCGCCGGTGTCCCCTCCTTCCCGCGATTTCGTTTCTTCTCACGCTCCCCCCCACCCCCTCCCGCGTCCAGCCCCGCTCTCCCCACCTTGTAAAACAAAGCCGGGGAAAATGCCTGCCCGTGCAGCTCGGAGCGCGCAGCCCGTCTCTGAATAAGAAGTGAGTACAATGGCGTGTTTGTAAAAGGTTCAAGTCCGTCTTTTTCAAAAACATTTTGAATGCTGCATGCCTCATGCTTCCCAGCGCCTCGCGGGAGAGAGCCGGCTATAGAGCAGGAGGTGAGACCCCGGGGACCCCCGCCACCTCCCGCCCCGCGCTTTCCCGCCCCAGCCGGTTCGGGAGGGCTGCGAACGCCCCGCTGGCTGCGAGCGGACGTTTTCCACCTACGGTTCCCGTCCAAGGTGCGGGGTCTGATCTGCGGTTGGAGGCAAACCTATCCCCCGTCCTCGAGCCTCCCCTGGCTGCCGCTTCCTCCCCTCTCCCGCTGCTGCCCGGGGCGTTTGCCTCTGCCCCGGGAACGGGCGTGAGACACCTTGGGGGGAGTTTCCGAAGGAGGAGGAGGGTCAGCCCTTGGGAGTAGCCGACTGGCAGGACGCGTGGTGACCCTGGTCACACTTGTTGCCCGTTGCGTGGTGGGACAGGCAGTGGTGCTGAAAAAGGCTCGTTTCTCGTCGTACTGAGTCGTCCATTGACCCCGGGATCAGAGCGAAGAAGACACAGCCGGGTGAGGACGGGAGACCTGGATTAAGATGCGCGGGGGGCAGAGCGGGGAGGTAGTGATGTGCCCGCGTGTGTGGAGGGGGCCGGTCTCTGATTCCTTGTGCTGAGGAGCTCCTCTCCCTGATCACACGCCAAAGGGCCGGAGATGGAAACCCAGAGGGTTCCCCCTGTGAGACCGAGAGGAACGGCTGTTATTTTATTTTGGTGTCCGTTCTGTCTGCCAAATGTGCATTGTATGTATTAACGTTAATTTAAAATACGGCAATAGCATAAAATAAACTCCATCAGGACATGTATTAGTTTAACACACACACACACGCGCACACACACACACACACACACACACTCTTTAAAAAAAATCTGCCCCCCTTTTCCCAAAAGCACATAATGATAAGGTCTTAGTTTGGCGTTGGGATTTACAAGTGGGATTTGGGGAGCATCCAGGTAAACAGCCTTGGGGTTTTCCAGTTCGACAGACTGGAAACCACTGATATGAAAAATCGGAAATAAGAAAGAACGGAGAACTGGAGAGAAAGGCTTGGGAAGCTTCCTTCGGAGAGATACTGAGCTTCTATGTGATTTTGTTATTTTTATTTCGAAAATGAGTTAATTTTAGATTATGACCTTTATTTTTCACTCAGACTCATAATGCAGCTTGGAGGTCAGCTGGGGTGGCTAGATAGCAGATGACAGTGATTTTAGCCAATATCAGAATTTCTATTAAAAGTTATTTTTTTAAATTAAAATACTGAACATATATCCAGTGCTAATTTTGAGTGAAGTTGCCTCTGTAAACATTAGATGTGAAAGGTGTCTACTAGTCCGGGGCTTTTTTCGGAGCAGCTGAGTGTGTGGGGGGGAAACCTATACATACATACCTGTAGTTAGAGGCTGGACCATAGGAAATCTCTGTACATATGTGGAGATTCACATACACACAGGTACAGTTACCTCATCAGAGCTCTGACTTCATCTCTTCAGAGTCAGAACCATTTAGAGGTTTGCTGGGTGAGGATCTCTCTGTTATCTGCCATCATTTACAACACTGCTTAGGTCTGGTGCCTCATGTAGTTTTGTTTACAAGGCTTTTTTTTTTTTTTTTATGGATCACTGAAGATTTATTTTATAAACTCAAACTGTGGTAATTCTCCATTTAACTCAGTGGTAGTCAAGAAGGTAATGTATGTAGCCATGTGAAAGTTGACACTCTCTATTCCCTTCCTATCGTCAAGAAATTTCAGGTTTCTATAAGGGTATTTGGGTGCCATACCATAGGGATTTCCATATACTTATCCACAAGTGTCTTTCAGATTAGGTTCTCATTTCATATTAAACCTATATTATATACACTAATTTTACTGATATGTATAACAATTATGGACATTAAATTGATTATTCTAGCTGTGTTGGTGGCTTAAGTCCCCTATTTCTTGGCCATTCTAATACCCCTTTGGTTTAATGTTGCTGTTTCAATCAAATACATTGTAGTAGATGACTTATTTTCCCCTTAGCAAGTGGAAATGTAGTACCTCTTGTATTTGCTGAAAAGGGATCCATTAATGATATTTTTGAACAGCTGAGATAAATAATAAATGATTGTAGAGGCACCTCAGAGTATATGGGAATTTGTAAGAGAACACATAAATTCACTCTAATGGAGCAATTAGCTTTGTACAGAAGAGCACGTAGGGTCCAAGGTGTGAGACAAAGCTTTAATTTTTTTCTTGATAATGTTCACTGTTGAAGTGGAAGAAACTTGTCATGTCTTGTCTGCACCAAGGATTTTGCCACAATGGGTAGCAATACTTTTATTTTTATAAACATGTCAGAGATCGAATAGCAAAATCTAGAGAATGCTTAATCATGAGCCTACTTCAGAGGATAAGCAGAAAGAAATGATTGGGCTCTTGTGGTTTATTTATTATCATGTATTACCAGAAAATTGCTAATGTTTTACTTTGAGCAATAAGGTTTGGATCACAAATTCACTTATAATACAGTTCCCTTATTATAATGATTTTGTGGTATAGAGTGTTAAGTACTTGAGAAGAAGAATGATCTATGAGCCTTCTTCATGTGTTTTCAAATATCTGCTTGAGTATCGTCAACTCTTAGGAGTTCACTAAGTGTTGACTAGCATGGTGGACAGATAGAAATATTGAAATTAACGAGGAAGACCTCAGGCATGCTTGACTTGTTTTATGTTTCCTGGTGGTCCACCTCCTGTTTTTCCCCGCCCCTCCCCATGTAGATCCCCAATAGCAGCAGAGAGCTAGGACCCAGCCCCTTTTCCTTGAACCCATATATATGGCCCAGAGCTTCCAGCAGAGGAACAGGGTTCAGTCAACCTTGTCTGACCCCTTAAACAAGCCCACTGATTATCCCTCTAATCTCCTCCAACCTAACCCTCATTCTCTGTTGTTGTCAGTGGCGGCACCTGACTTGCTGGATCCAAAATCTGCTGCTCAGAACTCCAAACCGAGGCTCTCATTTTCCACGAAACCCACAGTGCTTGCTTCTCGAGTGGAGAGTGACACGACCATTAATGTTATGAAATGGAAGACGGTCTCGACGATTTTCCTGGTGGTTGTCCTCTACCTGATCATTGGAGCCACCGTGTTCAAAGCGTTGGAGCAGCCTCACGAGATCTCACAGAGAACCACCATTGTGATCCAGAAGCAAACGTTCATTTCCCAACACTCCTGTGTCAATTCGACTGAGCTGGACGAACTCATCCAGGTAATGGTACAGACCAGTTGTTCCTCCATTTCCTCTAGGGAGGAAGAAAGAATAAGAGTTAGGGAAGCCAGCTCAGAGCACAAAGCCGCCCACCCTCGTGTGCCTGCAGAGTCCCTAGACCACTCTTCTCTTTAGCTGGCTATTTCTCCGCAGTTTGTCTCCTTTCTACATTTCTTCCCTCTCTTCTTACTTCTGCCATCTCTTCTTCTCCTTTTCTCTGATCTCTCCCTCCCATGGTTCCTTCTCACCCGCCCCTGTTGCAGCTCATCTGTGTTTCTGTCCTGGCGTCTCCCTGCTTTCTTTCCCTCTGCCCTGCCTTAGGGCTGCCAGTGGACACCCAGAGACATGGGGTGAGCTTGCTGGAGGCCTCCCTGGCTAAATGATCTTTGCCAACCGAGAAGCTTTGCTGTGGCAGATGAGAGGGACACATAAGGCAGACAAAGTGCAGTAATCGTGGCAGTGACCATCATAAGAGGAAAGATGAGTCTGTGGTGTGTGACCCCTTTGCAATGGGCACCTCTCATGGCCCATCTTCCATCAGCCAAAGTGATAACTGCCTTTTGTTGGTGTCTAGGGAGGTGATTGGTTATTGCTTCTCCAGACCCCAACTAAAAGCAATCTGTTACTGTACAAAAAAACAAAGTTATTGAATAGAAACTAGTTTAGTGTTAATTTATTCTATAACATTAATATCTTTATGGACAAACATTTTGTTTTAAAATTTAATCTCAAAATGACTTAAACGTTTCAGTTAGACTCCTTGGAGACAGCTATATTTTTTGGTTGTAATTTTTGCATAAAACATAGGTCAAGCCTGGTTGAGAAGAAAGCCCTATAGCTTTCTTTTAAGAAGAGATCTGACTGGTTGTTGAGAGCATTTTTCCTCATCTTGTAATTGGTTTTACATCATTCTAATGAGTTGAAATAGTAGATTGAGGGAAGAAAGTATTGTTGGTTTTAATCCAGCTTCTTGTTCTAAGACCTTTGCTCTTTTATTTCCTCTTGCCATAAATTCCCAGTTTCTACCTCTGCTCTTCAGAGCCCTCTGCATTTATATAATACACATACAAGTTATTATTCAAGTTTTATTGAAAAGTAGCAAAGCTAATATTCTCTGACTCTCATTTCGCTCCTACCACAGTCGGACACCTCTGCATCTCACTTATTTGACTTAAATTTTGAAAAGGCTCTTCATATACTTATATACTGAATTCTCTACTTGTTTTAGATGATAGCAACCTTTTCAGTAGTGACAGTAAACCTGACAACCAATATCATTGTCCCACTCATCTCATAGCCTGTTCCTACATAAGATCACTATCACTTCTCTCTCTTTGTACCTCATAGCCCTAAGAGGTACTGCAAATCTTTGAAGAATTCCCATATCCCTTGGGTTGTAGAAGAAGAGCTGTCGGTTGTCTTGGAGGTAGCATGGAGTACAGGTAAAGCCTGAACTTTGGGATCAGGTAGATGTATTTTAGACTCCACTTGAGTACTTTTCTAGAGGTGCCATCTTGAACAAGTAATTTTGCTCTCTGAGCTTTAAAGGGACTATCTGGGCTCTTACTGGTGTGGCTCAGTTGGTCGGACATTGTCCACAAAGTGAAAGGTCGCTGGTTCTATTCTTGGTCAGGGCACATGCCTGGGTTGTGGGTTCAGTCTGGGTCGGGATGCATAGGAGGCACTCGATCAATGTTTCTCTCCCTCTCTCCCTTCCTCCCTTCCCTTGTATCTAAAAATAGATAAATAAAATATTTTAAAAAATGATTTCTCTAGACTGAGGAAAGAATCCCTATCAAATAGGGTTGCTGGGAAGAGATAATCCAAGTAAAGCATTTAGATGCTTAAGAGCGTTAGGTTTGTTTCCTGTTGTTAATCCCTACCTCCACCTCATCCCTTTTTTTTTTCTTTTGGGTTGAAGCATCTGATTCTTACCCTCTGAAGTGAGGTATGTTTGGCCTTGGACAGGAAAAAAAGAGTCCGGAATTAGGACAATGCTGGAGGAGACTCTGTGAAAATCCATAAAGGGTCCCATTGTTCATTGCCACCCAAATTTATTTAGAAATATGAAAATACCTTGAAGGTCATGTCAGGTAGAGACAATCTGAAGGTGTAGACTGATCATTTTTTCTATATTGTTTTTGGAATGGCAACAAACAGAACTCAATATATGACCTAATTTTTTTGTTTCTGCTGCACACAGGCAATCCACTTTAGCTTTATTAATATTCACTGGTGGTTGAGTATTTTTGTTTCTTAACAATTTTAAGAATTTTTGTGCTTATTCACTATTTTTCAGTGAAGAAGTTGCCTATTATTTATTGTCATATGACTCACCTTTATAACCCCATGGCTCTAATAAATTACTTTTTTCCCCTTTGAATAGAATTTCCTCTGATAAAAGAATCTTTATAATGGCATGGCTTCAAGGATCAAGAGCAGCGTTTAAATAGGGAGGAAGGCCAGTGAGCCAGTAATCACATATTAGAATTACACTTCATTCACATGATTCTCATAGATTTCAAAGTGTGTTTCACATTTATTTTCCCATTTAATCATCCATTAAAACCTCATTAATACATATATTATTATAACTTTGTTTCCGGAGATATATTCTGTTCCTTTGATTGAGCCATGTTTTCCTGTTTCTTTGTGTGCCTTGTAAATTTGTGTTGTGATCTATCCATTAGAAAAAATGGCCACCTCTCTCAGCCTTCTCAGACTGACTCATGTACAGGAAGAGACTTTCACCAATCATCTCAGCTTGAGATGCCTCTCAAACCTTTGCTATGGATTCATCCTCTCTGGACTTATAAATTCCCAATTAGATGGATTTGCCATTTTTTTTTCAGGACCTTGTAATTCCTTGCTACCTCTGCTGTCTGTCTGCAGTACTGCAAGTTTTCTGGAGCTATTGGGATCCACTTAAGTCTCTTTTATTGTCAGTGTTTCCCAGATTTCCAGAGTCTGCATCCCGTCAGTACTCTGAGTTGGGCAAGACAGAAACCATTCCTTTGGGTAGCTCCTCCCAAATCAGGAATGTTTGACATGTGTTCCACTCTTTTCTTGCCCCATGACAGAGAGGCCACCAAGCTGCGTTGGCCTTTGTCTTTGTACATGGGTCCTCTGGAGGAGAGGCAAGCTGCCCAGCTCATTTTTGTTCTCAGTGTCCCCCAGGCACCTAGAATGTGCCGGGTCCCATAAGAGCTCTGAGATCGGCAAGAGGGAATCCAGTCCCTTAGGCAGCACCCTAAAATCCAGAATATTCGATGCACATTCCAACCCTTTCCCTTTCTAGGAAGAAGCCGGGGGCTCGGAGCTTGCTTCTGATGATGGTACACTGGATTGGGGGAATGACCATGGTGATCTGAAAGCTAATACAGGCATGACTTGGAGATGTAGTGGGTTTAGTTCCAGATCACTATAATAAAGCAAAAATTATAATAAAGCAAGTCACACAAATTTTTTAGTTGCCCAGTGCATATAAAAGTTATGTCTATACTATACTATACTATACTATACTATACTATACTATACTATACTATAGACTTAATAGACTATACTGTAGTCTATTAAGAGTACAATAACATTATATCTCAAAACAATATAAAGACCTTAATTAAAAAGTACTTTAGTGCTAAAAAGTGCTAACCGTCATCTGGGCCTTCAGTGAGTCATGGTCCTTTTGGTGGTGGAGTGCTCGTCTCGCTGTTGTTGGTGCTGACTGATCAGGGTGGTGGTTTCTGAAGGCTACCACATCAAATGACGCCTTCATGACTGCTTTCTCTGTAGCATGTGATGCTGCTTGGTAGCATTTTACCCACAGCAGAACTTTCAATATTGGAATCAATCTTCTCAAATCCTGCTGCTGCTTTTTCAACTAAGTTCATGTCATATTCTAAATCCTTCATTGTCATTTCAACAATCTTCACAGCATCTTCACCACGAGGAGGTTCCACCTCAAGAAACCACTTTTTTTCTTTCTTTTTTTTTTTTTTTGCTTATCCCTAAGAAGCAACTCCTTACTGTTCAAATTTGATCATGAGACCTCAGCAGTTCAGTTCCATCTTGAGGCTCCTTTTACTATTTCCATCCCGTCTGCAGTTACTTCCTCTACTGAAGCCTTGAACCCCTCAAAGTCATCCATGAGGGTTGGAATCAACTTCTTCCAAACTCCTATTAATGTTGATATTTGACTTGTTCCCATGAACCATGAATGAATGATCTTAGTAGCATCTACAAAGGTGAATTATTTCCAGAAGCTTTCAATTTATTTTGCTGATTCACCAGAGGAATCCCTATCTGTGGCAGCAATAACCTTTTGAAATGTATTTCTTAACTATACTTGAATGTTGAAATTACCCCTTGAGCCATGGGCTGCAGAATAGATGTGGGTTAGCGGGCATGAAAACAACATTCATCTCGTTGTACATCTTCATCAGAGTTGTGGGCTGACCAGGTACATTGTCAATGAGCAGATATTTTGAAAGCAGTCTTTTCTTTGTTGAGTAGTAGGTCTCAATGGTGGGCTTAAAATATTCTATACACCATGTTGTCAACAGATGTGCTATAATCAAGGCTTTGTTGTGCCATTTGTAGAGTGCAGACAGAGTAGATTTAGCATAATTCTTAAGGGCTCTAGGATTTTCAGAATGGTAAATGAGCACTGGCTTCCACCTAAAGTCACCAACTGCATCAGCCCCCAGCAGGAGAGTCAGCAGGTGCTTTGAAGCTTTGAAGCCAGCCATTGACTTCTCTTCTCCAGTTATGAAAGTCCTAGATGGCATGTTTTTCATAGAGAAAGTTGTTTTGTCCACATTGGAAATCTGTTGTTTAGTGTAGCCGCCTTCTTGAATTATCTTAGCAGGATCTTCTGGCTAATTTGCTGTGGCCTCTACATCAGCATTTCCGGTTCACCTTGCGCTTTGGCGTTGTGGAGCTGGCTTTCCTTAAACCTCACGAACCAATATCTGGTGGCTTCAAACTGTTCTTCTGTAGCT